AAATTATATATTTTTTAATGTTCAAAAATTATTAAATATAATTACATAACAAAAATAATGCAAGGGCCTACTGGGTCACAGTTACAGACTTTGTCACTGGTCTCAACAGTTGAGTATGCATGCACAAAGTCAGGGAGCCTGTGCTGTTGATATTGTATCTAATTCTCTTTTTTTTTCAACTTACAAGTGGTACCCTTCCTCCATTCAGTACCCTTGTGCAGCATACAATTTGCATATCGGGTTGTGGCAGCCTGCCCCCATGTCCCAATGCTAATGAAGTCCTATCATTACAGGTAGGCCTAGCTTAACGACTGCCCTTTTTAGCAACCATTCAAACTTATAATGGCTCTGATAAAGTAACTTTACAATTGGTCCTCGCATTTGTGACTGTTGCAGCACCCCCATGGTCATGTGATCAACATTTGGGCACTTTGCAACCAGTGGGCGTTTATGACCGTCGCAGCGTCCTGCAGTCATGTGATTGCTATTTTGGCACTTCACAGCCAGCTTCTGACAAGCAGAGTCAATGGAGAAGCCAGCAGTAAAATCACGAGTCATAGTCATGTGATGTCTCACTTAATGACAACGGATGATTCACTTAATGACTGCATCAGAAGTGAGGTCATAAGTCTGTTGAAGTCAGGTGATGTTTCACTTAATGATTGCATTGCTTAGTGATGGAGTTGCTGGTCCCAATTGTGGTCATTAAGCAAGGTCTACCTGTATTTGCAAAGAGTTCTGTTAACTCCCAGTCTCAGTGCCCTTACAGAATATTTGTATCTTCTGAACTCTGCTTCAACAATGATCTGATTATGGGAATTCCATAAGTAGATTCAGCTAATTCATTAGCAAACTCTTCTAGGTTTCACACTGAATGTGTGACTGTGAGTAGGCAGCTGATGATGCAGATACATGGGAAACATATATGCATGTTCTGTCTCCCCACAAGTTTAGCTCAGTTAGAAAATTTTAAAATACTACATTTTTAGCTGCACTCAGCTGGTTTAACTGCACTAAACCACTATCTACCCAGAGATAAGCTGTGAAGTTAACAATGTTTCTATTTCTGCATCAGTTTGTACAAAAATTGTGCTTCATTTTTGTGAGCATTTCTCCTAATAGAGATACTTCAAGTATGCAGGAAGTATTTTCCTTCATGCACTCTTGTATGTTCGGAATTTTTTTGTTCTGAACTGCAGTGCATATATATGTAAACGTAGATATTAGCATACACTTATATTTTATCTGCATTTGTTGTAAGAACTGCATCAAAATTTTCAGAAATGTAAACATTGAAAGAGAACCCCAACCACCCTCAAGTTCATGGAGTAGTCTGAAAGTGCAAACCAAATGAATTTCTCTCCCAATTCGACACTCTTGCTAAAGTTGTGATTCAGAACAGTAATTTAATCAATAAACATTTTGCTGTTCCATAATGTTCTCCTAGTACAGAATATGTTGAATTAAACCATATATAGCATACTAAGTAGAGGGGTCATCCTGTTCTCTCTTCAGAAAAATATAATTATTCCACATCTTTAATTAAATGTAGATGACGGGAAGCTGTCGTTTGAAGAGTTTAAGAACTGTTGTGCTGATGGCATCCTCAGCTCTGAGGAACTGTGGGAACTATTCAGTGACATTGACAGGCGTCATTCAGGGTAAGTAATAGGACGAGTAATCTAGAAGCTAAAAAAAATGACATGTGTACTTAACGAAATCCCTTCATGGAAACAGCCATAGCTTAATAGCAGATCACGGATTTTTCATGCAAAAGGTTCTTGGCTTAATCATTTGCATTGCCAGATAGGATTACAAAGATACCTATCTGAAATTCTAAAAAGTGGCTGCCATTCACAAAAAGGAAAGAGGATGTGCATTTTGTGGGTGGAATTTTTCCCTGGTTTGCTTTTAGTTGCTAGAAGAACCTTTAGCAAAAAAAAAAAAAAAAAAAGTATGTGGTTAATGGAAATACAAGCATCTTATGATGAGCTGAATGGTTTTGCATCTCATGTTTCACACAATGTTTTCACTGTATTATAGTTCGTATAGTCTTATTCCATCTTGCTTTTTTTTCAGTTCTGAAATGCAGTATATATTCACTGAAATATGCTGAAGAAACTGCTTTAGGTTTGGCCTCAAGTTTTATGCTCAATGACCTTCTGTTTCCATCCAGATTTATAATGGTATGCTTTAATAATTCAGTAAAACTGTAATACATTCTGTCTAAAGAATGTATATGGCTGCTTTATGGGAAAACAGAAGCACTACAGATTTTGAAGAAGGTAGACCTGGAAATTAATGCTGTTTTAAGAATTGTCCAGGCTGATCATTATTAAAATAGCATGTTAACTTCACAGCAGTATGCCTGAATTCCATGAATCAAAATCTGATTTGCTATTTTTGTCCAAGGGCAGATTAAAATAATATGTAAATTATCTATGGGATATGCAAGCAGTGTAATTCTACCTATCATTTCTACAGCATAACAAATGATCTAGTCAGCTTCAGTATGTCCCATACCACACATGAGGATCCTAAGATAGGGTGGATTGCCTGAACATCCTCTGAGTTCACAGCAGAAGAACTGAATTAAGATCTTTCTGATTCACAGCTCAGTTACCTAGCCGCTAGGCTATATCAATTTTCCAACAATATATATTATTGTATTCACTTTTATTGTAGACAGCGATTAAGAGATTTAAACAAATTTCTCTGGTAGATCAGGAGATTGAAGGCAAATTAACTGCCTCTTAGAGTTGGGCTTTTTCATGCTGTTTGGATCCCTTTCTAATGATGATTGTTTTTTTATTCCTTGTTTCTTCATCTGTGTAAAATATCTAGTCACTTTATTCCTTCCTGGACAATTTTTCTGGTTTTCAGTCTCATGTCGATGTTGACAACGTATTGTATTCCTATTTTCATCTCTTAAAGTTGGATGTTGCTAAGTGCACCAAGAAAATCCTTGTGACCTGTATATCAGAATAAGACTCCAGTCTGAAATCTAGGAATGTTATTGTCAGTTGGCATAAAGTCATCAACAATACTCAGCTACATAGATCAAAGACATGCTTAAGGCAACATCTTATATTTGTAAGGCCATACAGAACACAATACATAGCTTCCATTGGTTGATTACTACATGGAACAACTAGCAATGCAGTTATTTAGCTGGGTGTCCTGTGTGCAAGTCCTGATCAAATGACTGAGCATGTTAAATGGACAAGAGGGGAAGTAGGAGCAGGGCCTCATTCCCCATCTCCAAACCCTATGGATAGACTAGAGTTTAACTTTATCTTGCTATCAGAATTCCCAACAAGCATGGAAATGGGAATTCTGGGAGTTACAGTTCTAACTTATGTCCCCTGGAGGAAAGCAAGTTGGAGAAAAGTGCTGTAGCTGTAGCATAATACATGCTATAGTATATTACAGTATGCAAATGCTTTACCTGCAGAGGGTCTTTTGCATGATCTATACTTTTTACAGGCTGAGGGCATGTAGACAGAGCCTATGTACATTGTGTAGGTACATCATTTGTCCAAGTAAAGGCTTTTTGCACAAACTATAACTGAAGTGTGAAAATTAGGTTGTGGTGGCCTTCTGTAGTGGTCTTCTCCCTTTTGAATATATACCATGGGCAGTCATTTATCGGGTGCACATATCGTAAGGCGCCAGAGCCAGTTGCAGCTGCCATACTCTGCATCTACAGAATGGAATACATATCTTAGCAGTTATCACACATGGCCGTCTCCCTGCAAATTAGGAGTACAGTGTTAGTCTAGATAACATCCAAAGGCCAATTGAACCGTATAACTACTATAACAGGTGTATTTTGACTGATCTCTGCCCAAGATCTCAGCTTTTGGCACTTGAGGCTAAAAGAGCTGCAGATGCATTTAGATGCCAGAAGCTAATCATGTATACATATTGAATAAATGAAGACTGAAGTTACCACAAATGAAAAGAGACGAGTCATATGACTGTGTGGTAAATGATCATAACCTTTGTCATGAGGAATCATATAACTAGAAGACCTACAAGGTCATCTAGTTCAATCTTATAACACACACACACACAAATCAGTGAGTGCGGCTTTTAGACAACATTCCTTATAAGTGATTATGCATTCTCTGCTTAAAAATCTCTAGTACAGTCTAATTTCCACTAATGTCTACTATACTGTCTTCCTCTGTCCATTTTATAACTTAGACAAGGAATCGATTTCACTGTCTGCTAGGTCACATAGTTCATGTGAGCTTCTCTCAGGTTATCCTTGACAAATGTACCCATTTTCATGCCCATATAATTGAGATGTTTACTAAGAAAACAGCACTGCTTGAGCAAGTTGTTTTAGTATTGTGACTGTATTTGCATATAATACAAAGCCAGGATTTGTTTTAACCAATGTTAAAAATACTTTTGCTGAAGCAGTGCACATGGGCCTCCACCAGAAGGAACAGGCTCTGGTTTCTGAGCCATAATCAAGTGAGCAGGCAGCAGAGGAACATTAGAAGCTATGGCATATTCATTCATTCATTCATTCATTCATTCATTCATTCATTCATTCATTCATCATATTTATATAGCCGCCCATCTCACAATCAAGTGACTCTGGGCAGTGTGCAACAAAGTATATTAGTGTAACACATTTATGTCAGTGCAACACATGCACATGCCTGCAAGGTGGTAAGTAACAAGTGGTGAGGTAAATCACTGATTCCAGTAATCTGTACCTCTGCAACAGCTACACAATGGTATACTGTAGAGCCATTCAGAGGCCCCTTGTCCATGTTTACAAGTCATACCGGGAGAGGCCCAGGCAACCCTTTAGTACATAAATGAAAAGCTGGTGATCATCAATGCAGGAACAAAAAAGAAGTAGGCTGCCTATGGCAGCAAAGCAGTAGCCAGTTTTGGAGGAAAAAAAAACACCTTTGCAACATGAAACATACATTTATTTTTAAGTAAGTAATTAATACAGAAGCAGTCAAACTCTCATCAAGGGAATTGCTTGTCTTGCATGCTCCTCTCTTTTCCTTAATTTTCTCCTGCTGTTGTTTGGTTCATTTATGACTGGATATATTGCCAGGCCATCATCATTTCAAAATGAGAGCAGTTGCTGTACCAAATTTACATCTCATGCTAGTGTAGCAGTTCACAGCCAGATTATACATTAGTTAAATGATATGGCAATCTTCCCATTGGCTAGGATTGGAACAAAATGAAAAAGCGTGCCCTCTCGCTCCTTTTTGCACGTGTGAGAGAGGTCCTTGCTCTACTCCCGTTCCTCCTCACAGCCTATTATAAAATGGTTGGGTATGATGGGGTTGTAGTCCAACAAAGATGGACAGCACAGGTTGGTTTAGGGTAACCTTGGAGATTTTCTTCCCTTATTTTTTACAATCACTCTCAAGCTGTAGCTTCACACTTTTGTTGTCTCTGATCAGATAGGTTGCAGATTTTTTAAAAGCCTTCAGAGGCTTCTTTCTGCAAAGAAAAGAAATGGATGAGTATAATTACCAAAAGCAGAGATGCCTCATATTCCAAGATCTGAAAAATTACAGCCTGACTAGAATACAAAGGTCTGTTTTTAATATCTAAAGATTTTGGTGCTACAGCAATTCCCCCCTTCCCCTCCCACATTTATTTATTCATTGAATGTTTAAAGCCGTACAACTCTGAAAAGACTTTCTTTTTTTAATTTTATCACTTATCAAGCAGCTTCTCCAAAATGTCATTTGTTGGGTGAAACCACAATAACTAATTCCTGCAGAGTTAGTATAAAGCTGGCCTTTAGGATAGGATATACTGCTATCTCCACATAGATCTCCGTCTAGGTGACAGGGAAATGCTCAGATTCAGTGTGAAATCAGCCATCTGTCTCCTTGATGTGAACCTTACTGGCTGCTATAATGTCATAACAAGTAGTTTTGTCTCTTGGGTCTCTGTTGTTGCAGAAAGCCCATCCGCGGGATTGATTCTTTTAACTCTGGTGTCTATACATTGCAAACATTATTAGAATCAGCCTGTTAGCTGTTACTGCCTTGGGAGCAGAAATTGCTAGTACTTCTGGAGAGAGCAGTTGTTTTGCTGAACAATCATATATGACATTAACTAATGCCTACAAACATAAATGCTTGTAGTTTAAGCCTGGGAGGGAAAACTCTGCCTTTGGCTCAGGGAACAGAAGTCTTTCTGAGATGCCTTTATTCAATATACACCAGGAAATTTATTTATCCTTTCTCATTGAATCATACTGTAACTCAGCTCAGAAATAAGAATCAGTAAACACTGCCCATCCCAAGTCAGGCCAAAACAGCAAATAAGGAGAACCATCTTGGATCAGGCCAAAGTCCAATATAGTCCTGCACTGCATGGCCAGCCAGATGCCCACATGTAGGCAACCAGGGCATTAGAACTCTCCTTCATGTGATTCCCAGCAATGTGTCTCATACCAGAGGTCATATTAAACCATTATGACTAGTAGACATTAAAAGATCAATATAGTCTTGTCTACACTGACTGGCAGCAGCTCTCTTGGGTTTAGGAAGCTAATTTCAGATTGTAACATTAAGGCTGGAACTCTGTCTCTAAGTTGCAGTGACTTTCCTCGTTACCAAGGGGTAGGGTTAATAGATTTGGGCTGCAAAAGGGGTCAATT